CAGAGCGAGGAGAACTAAAACCGCTTTGCTGCTTTTTATTTCCTTCATTCTTTAAGGCGTGGGGAGCTTCAAACTTTCACCAACGTTATATATAAAAAGACACGTACGCGTAAACATATCCATGCAATAAAATAGGTGAAAGCGACTGTTGCTCTTGGTAATCCTGCCTTCAACTCACTGCTCTGCCGCAACAAAAAATGCCTACGTCTTGTTCGTAGAAACAAAAAATCTTCTATTATCCTGTTTTGAGGTGACTTCCACATAGGACTGCTAAAAGATGTATAAAAATTGGTAACGGAGTTGCAGCTTCCGAGGCAAACCGTGTCCCTCGGGCTCCTGGCAGAAGGGCTTGGAGCATCGAGGCGAGACGTGTCGGCGCTGCCCCGGCCTCCTCCCGCCCATACACCCCAAACTTCTGCGGAGGGTGAGGGGCCGGTGGAGAGCTGTGCTCGCCTCCTCTCCGGCCTCATCGCTTCGCCCAGCCGGGGCTCTCGGTAGCTGCGAGGCCACCCCCGGGGCGCTCACTCGTCCGCGGCCCCGACCCGCCAGGCAGGTCCTGGCTCCCCGCTGGGCTCAGCCTCCTTCCCCACGCTCCCGGCGCGCGTCCGCCTTGGAAAGGTGCGGAGCAGCCGTGCCCTCGGCTGGGGCACGGCACCCCCAGGAAGGGCAGCCAGCGCAGCACTAGGAGTAACAACAAGCCCCCGTCTCTCCAGGAGCGTCCCCTTCCCGGCGCTGCGCGGCAGCGAGGACAGCACAAAGGCAGGTAGAACAACCCTCCTGAGGACAAAAACTTTGCGTGCGGGGAAGGGGCGAGTCGTGCGGGGGTCCAGGCGCCCGCCGAGCAGGGCTTGAGCACACGCACCGCTGCTTTTGTTCAGCAGCCGGGGAGGATGCGAACCCGTCCCCGGCCGGGCCGCACCGCAACTTGTGCGTGCGGACTGCAGGGGCCGCGGCGCCCAACTTGGCGCTGCCCGGCCGCGCCGGGAAAGGGATGCGGAGCTTTCGGCGGGGGTAGGCAAGGGGATGAGGGTCGCCCGGGGAGGGGGGCGGCCGTGCCCGCCGCCGCCCGCTGTGGCAGGGGGCTGGGGCGGACAAAGCCGTGTGCGCTGCCCCGCTGCGCGGGGGGCTCGTCCCCGCCGCCCGCCCGCCCCCTGCGCGCACACACACACACATACACACAGAGACACAGACACAGACACACACACACAGACACAGACACGCGTGCACACGCACCCGCGCCCTCCCCGTCTCTGCGGGGCGGCTGGGCCACGGGAAATGATCCTCCCTGGGCTCCTGGGTTCATCATTATTAATCAACACAGGGCTGCCGTCCAGCCCTCCCTTCCCCTGCCCCCCCCCCCTAATTTTTTTCACCTCATTTTTATTGTGTGTAAACTCAAAACTCCTGTTCGCATTGTACGGGCTGCCTTTTTTTTTTTTTTTTTTTTTTTTTTTTTTTTTTTAAAGATTGTTTAGTCTGTTAGATTCCTTGCACATTAAAATGATTGTACACACCGTCTGGATTAAAACACAGTGTCTAATCTGCCTGGTCACTCCAGCTGACAGAAGTGAGGTGGGGAGGATGTGCCTGCAGTTTCTTAGATTATTTTTCTTTTAAAAGTAAGAAAAAGCATGAATTACAACTTGAAAATCAGTTTACTAACTTCTGAGACTGAGGAAAGGAGAAAGCACAGAAGTAACAACTACTTCGGATGCTGGTGGGTTTTAAGACATTTTATGTTGCCTTGATTTACTTTCTACCTTTAAATCTATTCTTTAATCTAGAAGTTTCTAATTTAGGTGCTCTTCACATCTCAAGATGCAAACCTGAAGGGGGGGCGAAAAAAGCTTGAGATTGGCTTTTAAAAAAATTATTACACACATTGAGTCACCCGTTTTATTTATACTCAACAGTGTTGAACCCCCTCGTACTGTTTATTACAGAAAACAGGAGGACATCGCCGAGGGGAAGAAATGCTGCTTTTAGTACCACAACAAAGCACGAGACACTGAAAACCAGCACCACAGCCTTAAGCACAGACAAAACAAAGTCATCCAAACCAGTACTATGCAAGAAAAACATTATTTAAACCAAACACTCAGCTGGAATAGTCCTCCACTTTTCCCACTGTGATCCATTAGTCCCCTGGTTCAAAAAAACTTTCCCAACCCCTCTTACTCCCTTTCCTATAAACTTTGTTTCCATCTTCCAGGCAGACAGCAAATCCTTACAGTTATTTTGGAAATATGTCACTTCCTCAAGAAAATCTCGAAAATCCCCTAACAACTTTAAGAAGGACCAAATCTTCACAGCCTTTGGGTCCTTCTCCTGCAATAAAACAGAGAACTCTTGCTTCCACACCTGCCCTCGCCCTGTTTCCTCCCCTAAAATAGGACAAACGGACATAAGAAACTTAAAAAGCTTCATTAACGATTTACAACCTTTTCCCCTCGTCTCCTCTCCTACACAGAATCAAAGTAAAAAAAAAATTGCCCTGATTTCTACTCTTGAAGGATTTTTGCATAAAAGATGGATTTTTTTTCTGTATAAAAAAGGGTTGCTGCCATAGTTCTCTAACAGAGAAGAAAGTTCCCCCTAACTGCCTCTTATTTTAAAATATCAATCTATACACAGATTTTAATTTCACATTCCCATAAATCCCCAAACAGATTTTATTGTGGTGAATGAGGATTGTTTTGCATGAAAAGCTCAAAGCAATTAATACTATTCATGGGCGTGACTGGGACTAAAATGAACAAATCCGCAAATGCCCTCTTGGAACTCAAAGTCCTTTATTGTTTTGTTTTTAATTGTGTGCTTCTACCTATTAGAAAATCTATAGTTGTGTTTAGGGTTTGGGTTTTTTTGTTTGTCCTTTTTTTCTAACAAAATAGAGTCAGGGACTCATCCTTCTAGGATGAGATAATGCTCCCCAGAATGACAAGAGAGGGGGAAACATTCAGAACTTGCTTCCTGTTGCAGTTTGCATAAAGCAAATGTCTTACAGTAATGTGATCCTGTGTCTTCAGTGATATTCTCCAGAAAATAATAGTAAATAAAGAAGAAATTACACAAATAATACAAAACGTAAGAACTCTAAACCTAAACTTCATCGTTCACCTCTCCCTCCCCTCCATCCTCACTCAGGCATGTGTGCCAGTACAAGAACATGTGTGTAACAGGCTGATGTGTTAAAACCCAGTAACTGCCAGCCTGAATCTGATCTGTGGACCAGCTCCAGCCTGTGTGCACACATCCCACAAGCATCCAGGGAGCCCACCCAGCAAAGGGAGGGAGGACAGGGAGAAGGGAAGAGTTACGCTGGAAGCTACATATATATATATATATAAAAAATTTACAGGAGGGTGGAGGTGGGATGAGAAAGACTCCAAGTGCATATATCAAGGGGAGGGGATTTGAGAAACACGGATGTCACTCTGCTTTGCATTACCCGAAACTTACTACTTGCATCTCAAGTCTTTCAACCTCTTCCACAAAAAGGAATTTTAACTTCAGCTGGGTAGCTGTTTCATGCCATTACTGTTCCACGGTCATTAGTGGATGCAGCAACACAATGTTTTAGACTTTGAGGTTGGGAGGGAATTTTGGTCTCAGAAATCCTAGTGGGAGATGTCAGCATTGGATTAAAGTGCCACAGCTGCTTTCTCCTGAGCTCCTGGAGGAGTCTCTGCTCCTCTTTCTCCTTGCCCCCTCTTTATGTGTATTTATGTGTTACATATGGACACATACATGTATGTTACACATACACACAGTGTCACACGCTGCCTTAATGTAACTTACAGCATTGTTCTTAAGGCAACTTAGTGCTTCTTCACATCTTTAAGCTCCCACGGAGAGCATGGCAAACTATGTGTTACTACGATTTCCTTGCTTGACAAGAACCTTAGAGTGCTGTTCTCTCCAGTGCCAGCCACGCAGTCTGCTCCAAAGTTCCCAGAGTTTCAGCTTCCCCTCGTTAAGCAGAGAAACCTCTCAACTTTAAAACGCTTAGTTTAAGTGCAAGGAACCACGGCGGCTAGGAAGGAGCCACCGAGAACGAGCAGGTTTTTATGGAGCCAGCTGCGGGAAGGCACATTTTGTCCTCGGGAGTCTTCCTTTCACGGCGAGCTGGCCACCGTGCCGGGCGTGGGATTTACGGCGCGTTACGCTAAGCAAAAATGTCACCTCCTCACTCTTCCCCCTACCCGGCTCCACTCCGAAAGCCGCCAACAACCGCGGGCTCTCGTCCCGCCGACGGAGGCCGAGGGCCGCCCTGCCCCCTCCCGCCGCCCGCCTTTGGCGCGCAGGGACGAGGGTGGCGCCGGGCGCGGCCCGCGGCCTCCCCGGTGACTCACGGCGGGATGGAGGGATGGATGGATGGATGGATGGGGACGAGCGGCTGGCGGGGGCAGGGAAGGAGAGCGGCGTGCAGAGCAGCGCCGAGGCAAGAGCGGCTGGTGCGGTCCCGCACGCACACGGCGATGCCGGGGCACTGCGCGTCAGCGTCCCCCGTGGGACTGTGCGGGTGCGATGGGGACACGCTCGCACCCCGGGGCACTACGCTCGTGGAACGAGCCCGGGCAGAGGCCTGGGAGGGGCTGCCCGGCGTCTGCCTCCCTCCTCCGCGCTCACCGAACTTGCCTCTTCTCCCGCCGCCCCACCCCCTGGCACAGGGGCCCTGGGGTGTTTCGATTCCTTCGGGCAGGCGCACGCCGGGAGCAGCGCACACAGACAGAAAGACAGACACACCCCCACCCCCGCCACGGAAAGAGGAGGAGGAAGTGTCACCCTCACACACGTGGATAGGGCGACCGGGCTGTAGCACCAGCCGTTCAAAACAACAACAACAACAAAATTAAATTAACAGTCGCCAGATGGCGGCTGGTACAACTTTGGAGCCGGTCTCCGAAGTGAGGGAGCCTGTGGGAAGGAGCAGGCCACAAGGTGCCAGAAGTCGGCGGGGGCCGCCGCTGGGGGGGAGGAGGGCGGGGGGGGCTCACCTGTTCCTGACAAGGAGGTCTCCGTCTCCCGGGAGTGGCACGGGCGCGTCCTGCTGCAGAGTGAGCGCTTCCCTGAAGTTTTGGCTCAGCTTAGTCACCACCAGCTTCTTCATGGAGCTGGGGATGGACGAGCCCTGGAAATCCAGAAAGTGACGGGAGTAGGACATGTCCAGGATGGGCCGCGACCAGCTGCCACCGAAGTAGGACCAGGCGGGACCGGGCTGCCGCCGCCGCCACCACCACCGCGCTGCCCGGGAGCTCAGCAAAGCGCCGCTTTTCGCGCTAAAACTCATGCCCTGCCTCGGCTCTCCTCTCCCGCCCCGCTCGGGAGAACTCCGGCTCGGGATCCTCCAGGCAGCTCGCAGGACCCGCCGGCAGGAGTAGCTCCCCGCTCGCAGCTATGTGTGTAGGTAAACAGAGCCCCCGCACCGCAGAGGCTGTCCCTCCCCGCCCAGCCGGCCCCTCCGCCGCACGGAGACGCCGCCGGAGGAGCAGCGGCGAGGCGGTCCCCCTGCAGCAGCCGCTCGTCTTCTGCCGCCGCCGGCGCTGCCGAGGAGCGAGGCCGGCCCGCTGCCGCGGCCGTCCGTCCCGCCGGCGCTGCGCCTGCCCCTGCCCGCGCCTGCCCCTGCCTGCCCTGCCTGCCAGGGAGGCAGGTGTGCGGCGGGCCGAGCTGCCTCCTAAAGCTGCTGCTGGTGGCGGCGGCTTTTAGTTTTGCACCCTGCCTCTGACTAAGGGGTTTAAAAATCGGAGGGGGTGCGGACGGTAAGGAAGGGGGGGGAAGACAGGCAGACGGACAGAGAGAAACGGCTCGGATTAACCCCCGCGCCCCATTTTTTAGTTTACAAAAAGAGATTATCTTCCTGGCAAAAAAAAAAAAAAAAAAAAAAGGAAAAAAAAAGAGAAACAAGAAAAAGGAGGGGAAAAAAAAAAAGAGTGAGAAGAAAGCACGGTAAATTATGGGCCGGGGAAGGTTAGAGAAGTGGGGAGAAGTTGCAGCTAATCTCCTAATGTTGTTATTAGCCGCCGCCGAGGAGCCGCTGCCCGCGGGCGGACGCTCCGCCCCTTCCGTGCGAAACGTTTCACTTCCTCGCAAGGTGCTACGAATCAACCCCGAGACGGCGGCGGCGGCGGCTCCGCGCCCGCCGCGGGAGGGGATTTAAACGGGAGAAGCTCTTCCCGCCGCCGCCGTCCTGCCGGCGGGGGAAGGGTAACAGAGGCTGCTCTGTCAGGTTGCTGGGGTCGCAGCTCCCCCCCGCTCCTTGCTACTGTCAGAAAATATTTTTGCGGGGTTTTTTCCCCCTCTTCTTCTTTCTCCTTAAATAAATATATATATATATTTATATGTATAAAATCACCTCTCGCTGTAGACTACGTTGGGTGAGGGAACCTGCGCAGGCAATCAACTGGGTCAAGGGACCGAAGTCAATGTTGTGATAGAGCCGCCAATCCCAACTTGGTACAACTGAAGCAATGTAATAGAGATGTTGCACCGACGTCGCGTGTAGTTCCCAGAATTAACTCCCTCCTACCAGTATAAACTGCTCAATGCTTAATTGTGCGGTGTTAAGAAGGAAAAAAAAATCCCCTTTTGCTCAAAAAAGAACAAAACTGCAGTTCCAAGTGTTTTCCTTTAGGAATCAGCTGAGTAGTTTTTATTTGATTTCTTGACTTAAAAAAAGAAAGGGAAGAACCCTTCTGTTGTCGCAGCTAACGTTATATAAATCCCCAGACACATACTGTGCAAAATGTATTAGCAGCATGTTTCATATGCTGCAGTTCTCGCTCTGCAATCTGTTGGTATTTTAAAGTAAGAATGAACTGTAATCTCCCACAAATCATTTTTAATTCAATGCCGGTTATACGTGTGCTACAGCGAGGTATCATCTCTTGCCTGCCTCTTTTTTTTTTTCTTTTTTTTTTTTTTTTTTTAAGTTTCTGGAACAAGACCTTGCTGAAGTTAAATCAGCACATGCGTCTTGCACAGCACTTTAGCAAGTGGATTATAATAACAACCCCCTCAACGCGTGTCTCACATGAGGAATCTTTTATGCTGTGCTGTATTAAGACTTCTTTTTTTTTTTTTTTGTCATATTGTTTAGCTCTGGGAAAGGGAAAAAAATGAAAACAAAGCAATTAAAAAGATTGACAGGTATGGGTTTGTGTGAGACCTATTTGTAATTGTCAGGGTGACGTGGGCAAGAGGAGGAGGAGTAACAAACTGAAGCAGGAAAAGCAGCTCGATGTGTCTGTCTATCAGTTGAGACTGTCTGAGAGCCCTGGGATCCGAATGTGTGTTATATTTCAGTGAAAAGAGAAGAGAGGGAGAGTGGATCTCTTTCTCTCCCAGGAGTTTAAGGGGGGGGGGACAGTTCACGTTAATCTGTCCCACTCAGTGAATGTCTTTTCTTCCTCCCCCCCTCCCTCTTTGCACACACTCTCCGGGGTTTTTCTTGGTTTTGGCAAATTTTTTTGTGTGTGTGTGTTGGTTTTTTTTTTCCTT